CGTTCTATTAGAGGTTTTACGGTAATCACAGTTCCAATGCGATTTAGAAGGAAATTTCTGCCATTGTTAATACTTGTCCCATAGTTATGGTCCAATTGTCTTCTTAGCCACTGTCGAAATGCCAGAGGTAGAAACATGGTAGTGAAGAAGAAACCGTACATGTGAAGTTTTGCAATAGTTATTAAATATGTGGATAGTTATTAAATATTAAATATGTTATGCAATAGTTATTGCAATAGTTATTAATAGTGACGCAATTTCCAGGTCTTGAAGAATAAATCGAACACAATGTGTCCTACGCAATCCCAATGATACGGTATCCGTTTGTCTAGTTGATTAAAAAATGGACACTTGTCCGCAAGTTGGTCTCTATAAGATTTCTTTAGAAACTATACATTTTAAAGACGTATCTCCCTACCTCTTTTCTTTCGAAAGGTTCTGAAATACTGATACAACTGATGGATATCCCAAACGTTGTGACTCTTTTCGACTCTGCGTTCTTGCGTTTCTGTTTCTCCAGAATACCTTGTGGGTAATCAGTCTCGGAAGTTCGTATATAAGCATAAAACAAACCCAAATCCAATGAATCCAGAACATTTCTGTGAGCGAGACGAACAATCCGGTAGCAACTAGATGTCGTGAAAATCAATGACAACTAAACGCGGGAAGGAGTCAAAGAAAAGACACTTTTAAATGTATAACGGTAATAGAGGGGAGGGGGGCAATCGATTGGCAATTGATTGCTCCAGGTGCGAATGATACAGAAAAAAGGAGAATGCCGGGCTGAGTCTTGCGGAGTTAGGTAGGTCAGTGAGAAATACTATTTGTTGAGTTTTTGTATTCAAAAGATGATTTTAAAAATTATGCAGTGCAAACCCCTCGTGTTGGTATATTTGGGTTTTCTTTCTAGATGTAAGCACATGCACTCTTCGGTGACGTCTTTTGGGTGTTTGGGTGTCTGAAAAAGAAATTCGTGTTTGTTCATTTTGTCTTAGAATTCCAGAGACTACAAACCCAATTCAAAAAGAGCCATATTTTTACAGCTTGTAACTGTGCTGGCTGAAAACGCGCGAACGAGTGAACGTCTTTTGATCGCCTTTCCGATGGGACAGGATATTGGCGGCTCGTCGATGGACCGTTCCTTCACTGTGAATTACCCTGACTAAAGTTTATTCTAGCATGTTTTGAGTAAAACGTTGTACTTGGCTCAAAATTAGATTTCGAAAACTCAAATAACTAATTAGTAAACTGACCAAGTGTCCAATTATTTGATCAATTTTAAGCTGAGTTATCGCTTGTCAAAGTTCCTTCACCTCTTAAAATCACAACGACGTGCAAGAAACATTACATAGTTTGTGCTTTTGGACAACCACAACACTACCTTTAGAAACTTAGAAACTTAGAATTTAGAAATCAGTTCGAAAGTTACAGAAGCTCTGAATCAAACGTAAAATAATATTTCTACCAATTTTCGTGCTTCCAAGATACTTCTAAGATCGTAAGATATACCCGTTTTTATCAGTTCAGGGAAATGTGCGGTTCGCTCGAAATTTTTATCAAAATGATATCATGAAGTGACTTCGCTGATCGAGCTTTCCATAAATACAAGATTTATGTATCGCAACAAGATTGAAATAATATATTTAATCTGTTTATGTCAAAAACGAGAACTTTAACAATAAAACCCATAAATCAATGCCATTCTGCAAGAACGAGCCTCATAGTAAGATAAAAAACAACGACGCAATTAGCGTGAAGTGCCGCGAGAATGAGAACCATTATATAACTACCGATAAGTACATTAAAAAGAAGAAAAACGATAGGGAAGGTTATCAACGGTATAACAATGCTAATCTGTATAACATTGATATATAGAAGATGATTTATAGTTCTTTTGATTTTTGGAAGAAAGCAGCTCACAGTTGCTGGTAGTTGGAATTTCCAGGAGTTCTGGAAAAAAGCTGGAATAGGTTAATGCAATTCAGAAAAGGGAACCCACATCTTTTTCTTTATCCATTTTGGCGGAAAGCTGATAGCAATTAAACGGGAACATCAGTTTTTTGAAGCCCATTTCGATTCCAAGATTACCATCGCTTGTTTTGAAATGAATTGAGTTCCTGAAAACATAGAAAATTACTCTAACGGAAAAAATGAGAAAAATGGTTCACACTTACCCATTTACTCTAACGTCGTCATCAATTCCAAATCCTACTCGTTCTTTCACTTGGTTCCAAAAACCATCGAATTGATCTCCAGTCATTCGAACATATCCAGTATATTGAAACCGGTTGAACGGTACTTTTCCCGATCTCAAGTCTTCACAGACCTGTAAGAATCGTGGTCCACTTGTGAACTCGTCCCGAAGTTCCATTGTCTGGGCTTTCATGGTCCAAAGTCTTTGCAAAGACGCAGTTGGCACCATGTGGGCAAAAACTCTGACATTTTTCACTGTTAGTTTCTATAAAAAGGACCAAGTTAGGATTAAGACTTTTGATGAGAGACTTGCCGTCATGTCTTCAAAAACTGTTTGGAGAAGCTCCTCGTCATTCATAAAATCAGGCATCGTTTCAGCATTGAAGTCAAGATTTCTAATTTTTGACTTTTCGAACTGTTTGAAAAAATTTGGAAAGTACTCGTCCCCGATGTGAAAATTAACAGCCAAGTTATTTATCATCAGTGGTACTGTAGTGCGAATGATATGAGAAGTTGCAATATACTATAATGAAATTATGGGTATTTAGAAATATTAAACTCTTATTCATTACCTCGACAAAAAAATAGTTAATCACTGTACCGGCGCGATTTAAAAAGGGCACACTGTCCCTGTGAATACCTGTTCCATCCTTATGGTTCAATTTTTCTCTTAGCCACTCTCGAAATTCCAAAGGTAGGAGTGTGGTAGTGTAGAAGAAACCGTACATACGAAACTTTGCAAAAGTAATTAAGTGACGCAATTTCCAGGTCTTGAAGAATAAATCGAACACAATGTGTCCTACGAAATCCCAATGATACGGTATCCGTTTTTCTAGTTTATAAAACAATGGATACTTGTCCGCAAGTTCGTCTCTATAAAATTTTTTTTAAACTGTACATTTTAAAACTTATCTCATACCTCTTTTCTTTCGAAAGATTCTGAAATACTGACACAACGGATGGGTATCCCAAACGTTGAGACTCTTTCCGAATATGCACTCTTGCGTCTCTGTTTCTCGAGAATGCCTTATGCATAACTAGTCTTGGAAGTTCAAAAATAAAAACAAAAGAAAGCCAAATACAATTAATCCAAAACATTACGATGAGCGAGACAAAATTCAGAGATAACTAGATGTCAAGAAAATCAATGACAACCAGACACGGGAAAGAATCGAATAATGGACACTTTTGAATGTATAACGGGAACTGAGGGGGGCAATCGATTGGCAATTGATTGCTCCAGGTGCGAACGGTACAAAAAAGGGGGAATACCGTATTTCCTCTAATAGAAGCCCACCTATATTTGAAGCCCACCTTCTGACGTACTTAAAAACATAAAAGTGCATAACAGAAGTATGGGTACTTCAGGTAGTGCAGTTTGAACGTTCCGTTCGTCAATTCGGCTATTGTTGACATTTTCTTTCTACTTCAACAAATTTATGGTATTTTCAGTTTTTGGTAATTTCCTAAAAGGAGGTTGAAAAATAGAAAAATGGGCTTCAATTAGAGGAAATACGGTAGCTCGTAGATGGTCTTGTTGAATTTGGTTCACAAGCAGTCATTATGAACTATTATAAATGTTCATTCAAAAATAAAAACCTCGTACGGGATTACCATATTTGCGATATACGGCTATGTCTGACCACATTCATTCTTCGGGGATTTCTTTTAGGTATTTGGTTGCCTGAATAAGTACTTGCTGTTGGACCATTTTGTCTGAAAATTCCAGAGACTATAAACCCAATTCAAGAAGAACTCTATTATTATAGTCAACTGTGTCGGCTGACCGTACGTTCACCGCCTTGGATGGTGGCGGGCGGGCTGTTGGCTGCTTGTCGACGGACCGTTCACTGTGAAGAATGAATAGAATAGAATGTGCCCATAGAAATTTTTTAGAGCGTTCACTTTTCAGAACTTTATCCTTATTCTTTACTTTTGAAAGATTCTGGAATACTGAAACAATTGATGGGTATCCCAAACGTTGTGACAGTCTCCAACGTTGCATTCTAGCGTTTCTTTTTTCCAGAATTCCATGTTGATAAAAGTGCATCTTTGCTTTAGAAAGTTGAAATAATAATAATAGAAATCCCAGTCCAAACTGATAATAACATTTGAGGTGACAATCAGTTTATTAAGTATTTGTATACTACAAAGACTGCATGTTCCAGACTCTTCAAATTCTTAAAAAGTCATCTAGATAAAAATTTTATAAAGGATATAAAAAAGATGAAATCAAATATAAAAGTATTCCAAAATCACACATGGTGTATATGCTTCTCCCATACTTCTGTCACTTGTTCTCCTCGAGATGTATGAAGACGTGCCGTGGAGAATACGGCACCCACGGAGTAGAAGAATGGACGGACAATGTAAATCAGGAACATTGGCCAAACCAAAACAATTTGAGACAATGCCATTCGAGAAAGAATCAGGAGTGGCTGAAATAAAAAAAAGTTTTTATCTGAAAAAAATTAAAAATCTCACTCTGACGATCCAAATATTTAGGAATGCAAAAAGAGCAAAGAAGAATCCACCGAGTAGAGCGATCAGCAATCCAAAGATCAATGTGAGAATCTTATAACTGTAGATTCTGACGATTTCGAAAATCTGAAATTTTTTGAAATTTTTAAAATTATAATTTCGAATCTAAAAAACCTTGAAAGACAATGTCCAAACACATGCAATACTGTGGTATTGTTCACTGGGTTCTGCGAAAACTTCAAAGAATGTGGTCTGAATTTTTTTTTTATAAATTGAAGGGTCCCAAGAGACAACTAACATTCAAATACTGTACAGCATCGGTTGGATCTCGATCATCCATATTCATTTTATGAACTAGAACTGGAGCAATGTTGTGTGCTCCAATGTCGAATGCCATTTCCGGGTTGTCGGGTTTCTGGGATCTGGAAAACAGTTATAATGATGATTCAATTTTTCATACACTGTTAAGTTTGAGCTCGATTATCTCAGCTCTTATAAGAGATAAAAATTCTGTCAACTGATAAAATGTTTAGGATATTATGCTTAACAATTTATAAGTTGAAAAATTTTTCATATCTTTGAACGAGACAAGGGAGAAACAAGTTCAAATAACAAATACCGTATTTCCTCATATAGAAGTCCTCCCAAGCCATCTACTTTGAGCTCAATTATCTCGATTTCTGTAAATGATGTCCAAAATTTGTCAAATGACAAATTACTTATCACAATATCACCAACATTTTATGAGTTGACACATCTTTTATCCCTTGCACAGGAATCGAAATAATTGAGATTGAAGTTGGGCTTCTATTACAAGAAATACGGTAAACTTTTTTCAGGGAAATAAAATAAAGCTTTGATGGAAGGAAAAAGCTGTGGATGAAAAGCTAAAAGATAAGATAGAATTTCAATCAGAAAATATTGGAAATCTAGACTTTGGAACTGTCGGAGCTTTTGATGATAAAAATAGAATGTTGTATGAGAAAAACAAGACAGCCTAGGAAATTTAGACGAATTTAAAAGGGAGGGAGAAATTGGTGTTTAGCCAATTGAGACAGTTCTAACATTGACTTAAAAAAAGAAACCTAAATTGGTAGTTAAACTTGTCAAGAAACCAAGCACCTACTCAACATTTACCGTAAAACCTGTAATAGAAACTCTCCCACACTGTCAAGTTTGAGCTCAATTTTCTCAGCTCCTGAAAGAGATATCCAACATGTGTCAACTAATAAAATGTTAAGGATATTATGATAAACTATTTATTAGTTGTCAAATTTTTGATATCTTGCATAGGAACCGAGATAAATTGGCTCAAATTTAAATGTATTACCTATTTTTCTGTGGTTGCGGTGGAGGAGGAGAAGACTGTTGAGCTGGATGCTCTGGCAGTGGTATGGATGGAGCAATTTCCTGTAAGTTAATTTTTAAAACATTCTTTTTTCGAGACTCACTTTCTTTGGAACCACTCTCCTCGAGGATCCTCGCTGGGATGCGATTTCAATTACAGTAACCTGCCTCTCTCCTATGTCGTCTACCTCATCCTATAACTCTCCCAAAAAAGTTACAGACATAAATTTAAACCCCTAACCTGTTTGATAGTTACATGTGGACGAGCGGATTGTACTGTAGATCCTCGATTCGACTTGACTTCCACTTCTGTGATGTTCTCTAGATCTTCGATATCCTGAATGTTTAGCCTTACAGTAACAACTTTGAGCTCAATTATCATGATTCCTGTGAAAGATATTGAAAATTTGTCAACTAATAAAATTTTGGTGGTATTATGATGAATAATTCACCAGTTGACATCTTTTTGAAATATTTCACAGGAATCGAGATAATTGAGTCCCAAGTTGCCGGTTTGGGTGGGCTTCTATTAGAGGAAATACGATATAAATACTTACATCAACCATATCATATTGAGGAATGTCTTGATGACGTGGTAGCGGATGAATCTCGTCGTCGCTATCAGAAGTTCCTCGACGAGACATTTTTCACCTACTTTTTAAAAAGTAGAGTTTTGTTCAGCAAATGAGAAAAATGGGTGTGTATTATTATTTGGTCGACTCTAGGACGTGCCAATCTCTATTGAGTTTCAGATAACGACTCCTTATCGGTGCATTCCAACCACCCATCGTCATTGAAGTTTGCTTACAGACACTAGCGGAAACAAGGAGAAGTACGGAGTAAACAAGACTAGTGGCACCTCCCTTTGAATTTGAAAACGCGCGCTTTTGAAGGAGTGGCGGCCGAGGAAACTCCCGAAGTTTCCTCTCGTGCACTCCTCTCGGACAAAGTTATTAATTTCCGATATTGTTGATTTCCGGTTCATTTTTTGTATTTCTTTTCATTCCCCGTATCAAACATTCAATTTTATATTTTCTGGCACATGATAACTCCATAGCACTGCTTATTTCGACACCCGAGCTCTAAAAACTTTATTGCTGCAGACTGAAGTTGTTCTTATCACTTCACGCTTGTTTGATAACTCCCCAACAAGTACTTAATCGCAATATTAAGAATTTGGGTTTTTAAGAAATTGCTGAAATTCTAGAGAGAAAAGAGAACAAATAGTGTATATGGGGAAACTGATAGTGAGAGGAAAGAACTTGTTTTTCTTATTACGCTCGAGAAAAAAAACACCTGACTTTTCACATAACATATTTCAGGCAATCGATGAAACGGGCGTTCTCTAGACTCTGGGCTTTTTCACCAAAACAACGACATCAGATTCTGACGCAAAGAATTGTGGAGCGAGCCACGATTCTTTGGAGTAGCAGAAGTCTAGCAGCGATTGCTGCTACTGGAATCGGAGTTTCAATTGGCGCTTACCAATTCATTAATACAGCAAAAGCTGGAATTTTAGGTTTTTTTCTCTTTCAAAATATTTCAATTTTTAAAATCTTCCAGATGGACCCGACGATGCATCCCGGCACAATGTCCAAACCGATCATAAGCTCACAAAACGAGAACTTCGATTCCTTCAATTTGCTTCTGTTGAATATGACGATGTTATCTACATGAGCCCCATGGATTTCATTGATTCTCTAACTTTGGATGCTCCAAGAGAACGTGTCTATCGACGAGTTCTGAAGGAGAAGGATATCAATCGAATACTCAAGAAGACGCCTCCATTCCGAAGTGGAAGCAAACACTTTTTTCGAACCATGGATCAGAGTGGAATAATTTCCTACTCGGAATACATATTTTTACTGACACTTTTGACTAGTAAGAGTGTTCAGATCCACAAAATCTCAATGTTAAATAGCTTTCAGAATCTAAATCGGCATTTCGTATTGCATTTTTGATGTTTGACGAAGATGATAACGGTAATATAGATCGTGATGAATTCATGTTGGTGAGTCTTTCAGTATTTTTTGTTGAGAAAATGAGTAAAAAAAAAGAGAAGTGCGATATTTGCTTGCTTTTGTGTGAAAATTTTCATTGGAAAACTAAAAAAAATCTCGAAGAAAATAATGATAATAACTGAGTGAGTTAACTGCCTTGATTAACTATGATTTGATATAAAATGGATTGACTGATTGCTTTTGTATGAATTTGAATGCAGTTGAAATATGCTTAAAATTCCCAATTTCAATTTTAAGAATATATACCTTGCACGCGTTATCATTTTAGGTTTTGCATTTTGCATCCCGCTGTTTAGGTTTCATTTTAGTTCAATTATTAAAAATATTCTTAACTTCTCTCCAAAAAAAAACCTTTAAAAACTTTCCCTTATTTAGTACTGACTCCATCCCCTATTTTTGATTTTCCTTTCTAATGAAAATATCGAAATATCAATAATTTTTGCCTTCCCTATAAATTATGTATATTTAGTTTAGAATCTCGTGAAATTTAGATTCGTAGTCTAACGTCTTCACTTCGCTCAACGACACGTGTGCAACCGAAATCAGGAGAAGTGGACGATGTACAAGATGTAAGCGTTTGCAAAACAAACCCCTCATCACAATGCCAAAAAGCTTAACTTTTTCACCTTTATCTATCTTTTCTCTGTTGTTTCTAGTCTTGCCAACTCGACGCCGGCGATTATCACTTTGCTGTGAGCCGAATCGGAGCAGATCGCTTGTTCACTGGAGCTGATTCGTATGCCGTTATGTTCACTGTAAGGACTATTCGGATTGAAATCTGAAAGCCAGGAAGTCTGCATGATAAAGAGGACGTGAATAGTAATGCTTTTTATCCTTGAGATTATGACAGAATTACTGTCAGAATCGTTCTCCTGCCTGTGTGGTGTCGAATATCGCGCTTCTTCTTTTTCCCTATTCTCTACCCTACCCACTTCTCTCCAACTAATTTAGCCTGGTGTTCGTTTTCAAAACTTTCTCCCAACATTTTTTTCCAGATCGCTCGAATGTTCGCTTCCAAAGCCGCGACACTTTCAGGCACCCGACTCGTTCATGTTCATGCATTCTTCCAATTAACCATTAGTTAATACTGATAATTTATTTTTCAGAAAAGCGAAGAAGAGGTACGCAAGCAAGACACCACACTGCTTCTCCATTTGTTCGGATTGGAGGTAATGCCACATTGAGTTTCGACGAGTTCCAACAGTAAGTTGTACATCTAGAAGACAATAGTATCAACCTGAATATTGATTCAGGTTCTACGAGAATTTGCAAGAGGAGCTTATGGAAATCGAGTTCTATGAATTCGCGCGTGGAAAGAGCACCATCTCTCCTGTGGATTTCGCTCGTCTCATACTTCGATACAGTATCGTCAACTTCGACGACTACCACAAATACCTCCAAAGAGTTCAGGAGAAGTCTTCAGATGATGAGCAAGGAATCACTCTGCACCAATGGGCCACGTTCAGTCGATTCCTTAACAACTTGGCCGAATTTCAAAGCGCCGTCCGTTTATATGTCAACAGCAATGTGCCAGTCTCCGAACCGGAATTCGCTAGAGCTGTTGGATGTACAATCGGGAAAGAATTGGATCCGGTGGTTGTTTCGATGATATTCCGAATCTTCGACGAAAATAACGATGGGACACTTTCCTATCCGGAATTTTTGGCCGTAATGAGTGATCGTCTTCATCGTGGACTCCGTGGAAGACTCGAGAAACCATGGGGTTGGAAACCATTCAAGAATTGTGTAATTAGTGAAGTATCCCGTGCCTAAAAAGAAAGCTTACCCGTGCCGGCCTGTAGTTATAATAGAAATATCTTTTTCTTGCCTATTGCTTGTGTGTAAATAAGAATTTTTGAAAATCAAGAAACAACAAAAAATCAACAAAACTGGGTAACAGCAAAAAAAAGAATCTAATCCGATGGACTTGTGTACAATTGTCGAATACGAGCTTTATCGAATCCTCCAAAGTCCATTGTGATTGCCGGATAAATTGGGACAATATCCTCTTCACAAAGACGGAGAAGTTTTCTATAAAAAATTCAAATATTTAATAAGCCGAGCCTTCAGAATTTCTCACCCCATCGGTGGCATTGTCGACCGATCAACCATGTACATTTCAATGAGTTCCTTGACAACTTTCTCGTTGTTTCCAGCCACTATCAATGAGAAGTTTGCCATTCCATCGGAGAGTCCTTTCGTGGCAAACTGATGTAACTGAACACCCTTTATGGCTACTTTCAGCGTTCTCGCGACTTTTGCCATTGACGCTTTGGTATCCGCATTCGGTGTATAGGCAACAACTGCCAGTGCTCCAAGGTTTAACTTTTCGTGGACACTGAGAAGTTGCTTCAGGATATTTTTAGTTCGATCGTCGAAATTGAGTTCTGGATCAACCACGTTCCAATCCCAGATGAGAGTTTGAAGACGCGGGAACCTGAAAAATAATGCATTTAAATAAAATATGACAGATTCAAAAACTTACGACTGTGACAGAACTTCAAGTAACTCTTCAGCATCAGTCTCTCCCAAAAACTGCAGTTCCTGAACTGCAAGCGCCTTCACAGTTACGAATTCGATGCCTTTTTTGAATTCATTCACATTGACACCTGGATTTCCAGATAATTTTATCAGAGATACATCTAGATTCTGGAGAACTTCTTCTAGAATATTATCCGCTAGTTCTATTCCACGTAGGTTCAGTTCAGCCAATCGCTTCAGAATTTCTGCCCATTCTGGCTTTTGGAATTTGGTTTCAGAGAAGGAGAAAGCGGCAAGAAGAGTGAATTTTCTCAGCAGTTTCAAAAGATTGCCTGAAGAAATATCGGTCATATGCAGAGACATTGCTTTCACATTTTTGAAGAATTCGCGAATCTGAAATCAAAACTTTTTTAGGCGCCAGAAAAACTTTTTAGGTCTCACCTGTTCATCCTCATAATTTTCCTCGAGCACGTTGACCAGCGAATCGCAAGGATTTCTTCCAAAATCAATCTCAACCAGTGTTGGTCTCAGTTTGAATAAAGACTCCCATTGAATGTCTACAAGATCTCCTGGCTGGTCTTTGAATCCGTAAAGATTCTCTCCGAATTTCGATGCGTTTTTGATTCGAAGAATCGTTCCTGGCATGCTTTCTACGTAGCTGCCACGGTTAGCCATCCAGACAAGAACACTGTCAGGTTTTGAAGATGTCATTGTTCTAAAAAAATAACAAGAATTAGGTCAACAAAATAGATGAAAATAATATTTTCTTCGAAAAATACACAAACACTTTTGTCCGAGTGGACTACACGATGTTTGGTCACTTAGGCCACTCACGAGTTTTCGCGACCATCTGGAAAAATTTCACAACTTTTTCACAACTTTCACCGAAATTCAGTAAATTTTGAGGTTTCCAAAATCAGAAATGTCTGAAATTCACGAAGAAGAACAAGACGAGACTCTCCGAGCATCTCGATTGGCGTTCGACTACATTTTCAAGCTCATCTACCCAGTTTTCTACTTCGTCACAATTCCGCTGCGAATAACAAATTGGTTTTTCACAAACTTTCCGGTATTTTCCTCCCTATCCCTATTCCTTTTTGTGTCCACAACGTTAATTGTGATTTATGTGTACCGAAGACTCTCATCGACACCTCGTGAAAGCTTTATCAGCTACGTTCTCTACACTGTTCTCCCATATGCAGTTTCAATTGTGTACACAACTGTTGGATTCATTTTTCCTCAGGTAAATTTTAAATACTGCTTATGAATATATAAAAATTTTATTCAGGTGCATTTCTTCACTAAAATCATCAATGTGCTTCTTCATCCAATAAATTTCATTCTTGGATTCATCGAAAAAGTGGACAGCAGGTCAGCGACCCACTATTTTTTCAACTCTTATATATTTATTGATTTTTCTTTGATTTTTCAGAGCTGCTCCGATTCGCCGAACAGTCGAAGCTCTACATGGTCCAAAGCCATCGAAAAAGAGTATCAAGTAGGTGAATGACGAACATTCTGAACCGGCGTGTTTAAATTCCCCACTCCTCCACAAAAATGTGTCATTTGCAGATCCATCGAAGAGTCGCTCAACGAAACACGTCTTCAATGTTATCTGTGTAAGCTAGCCGACAAACGAGTCCTTCTCCGCCCGTGCAATCATTTCTGTCTCTGCGAAAAGTGCAACGACGCCTTCCAGAAGCAAATCCCACCACTTTGCCCCATTTGTCATATTCCTGTACATTCATTCGATATTATTCATCTTTCATGATAATTTTTTTGAACATTTTGTACATTTAAAAATTTCTTATTAGCTTTTCCTCTACCTCTCATCCCGATGCGTGTATGACCTATTTAAACTTTTTATAATAGCATTTTACTGTAATAGAGTCTTTGTTGAAAAAGTTTTTTTTTAAATTGAAACAAATGAATCTGACAAGTTGGTCGGTGGTGACTTACGTCAAAAGGAATAGTCTGCGCTCGACACATTTTAGGATAATGTTGTCATTAAAGGAAAAAATTTTTTTTTCAGAAACTTTTCGATTTTCTTTTCGGAACGAACATCACACTTTGCAACTCCCACCAGTCGTCTCTGATCCCCAATCGGTTTCACATCCCATTCGTCGCCGCATAATGACGTGGCTTCTGCTGCTTCTTTTCATACTTTGAGTCTCCTGAGCAGTAGTCTTCGAGTGTTTTTTCTATCGACATAGTTCTTCCACATAACTCTCAGAAAAGAAGAATGAAACTTTGGGCGGTCCCTTCCCTTCCATGTCTCATGGGTCTTCACCCCACTTATCGACTCTTACAAGTCGTTCACTTATGATCGCGTGTTCAGAAGGTCCTTAGAGTCTCAACATGCAAAAACTGGAGGCACTCTTTTTTCTTCTTCCGTCCTTACTTTGGAAACATCATCATCAGAAATAGAGAAAACGTAGGATTAGGTGTAAGAATAACGCATTTAATTTATTGCCTACACCACCACTTCTATTAGTAGATTCTGGAAAAGCATGGATTTAGAATTTTAGAATTTTTTTCTGAGTTTTTGAATTTCTGAATTTCCCAAATTCAGAATAACCGTATCTCGGAATCTCAGAATCTCGGAATCTCAGAATCTCGGAATCTCAGAATCTCAGAATCTCAGAATCTCAGAATCTCAGAATCTCAGAATCTCAGAATCTTAGAATATTAAAATCTTAGAATCTTAGAATTTCGGAATCTTATAATCTCAGAATTTTAGAGTCTACGAATTTTTGGTTTTCAGAATTTTCGAATTTCATAATTTCCAAATTTTGAATTTCCCGAATTTCTGAATTTCTAATTTCTGAATTTTGAATTTCAGAATTTTGAATTTCAGATATTTCTGAATTTAGGAATTTCTGAATTTTTGAATTTTTTAAAATTTAAAATTTTGAATTTCATAATTGTCAATTCTCTGAATTTTCGAATTGAATTTTCGAATTTCTGAACATAGCAAAATAAAAATCTATAATTCCAGATAAACGTCTTCAAAGTTTGACGCTGGTATACGTTGTTACCATGTCAATCAAAAAACAAAAATAGTAATGGAACCCCTATGTCGTTCGTTCGTTTCCTCTTCCTTCTCGGAAAAATATACTGAGAAGTACCTTATTCTTTTTTCTTTTTTTTCCAATTACGAAGAACCCCTTTCCCATTTATTTCTAAAGAAATATCGCAACTTGTCGCATATTGTCTGTCATTTCCAAGTTACATCAAGCGTGTGTTGTCTCAGAAGAGAATTATAGAATTTCAGTTTGAAAAAAACACTAGAAGCTATTTTTTATAACTTTGTTTCGTAATATTTCTTGTGGTTTTTTTTGATGGATCGAAATGTGTTTCGAAAAGTTGTCTAGTAGGGTTTCTAAGTGATTTTAAAGTGGGTGGTATTATGAAATATAAATGTCTCATTTCTTGGTTTCCAGTTCTTTTTATTTTCTCGAAAAAACGTTTTTTTTTCAAATGTGCTTACCGTAAAACCTGTAGAAGGTCCCCCTAACTTTTAACTTAGAGCCAATTTTTCTCGCTTCATGGGAAATATATCAAAAAGTTGCCAACTAATAAATTGTTTATCATGACATCACAAACATTTTATCATCTGACAAACTTTTAATATCTTTCCCATGAACTGATAGTGAGATATATTGCCTCAAAATTGGCAGTCTTGGTTTCTATTAGGTTGGCGGGAAGTCTTTGTCACTCTGTTTGTTTAATCACTGTTCTCGTATATGGAGGCTGTGTATGATATCGACTCTAGTGAATAACAAGGTGATAAGAACCTTCCATATAAACAAGTCCCCATTTCCTTCCCTGCTCCTCATCTGTAATTGAAACGATATGTTTGTTCCCACTGCTATTCACATCAGACATGTTTTGATTTACCTCTTCCTATCTCACACCACGATGAAGGATTCGGAAACTTTCTTGAAGAATGTGTACAACACACATGCCCCTCACTACAATACTATTCGCAATTGGTTCCATCGTTTCGAAAAAGATGACTTCTCGCTCGATGAAAAGGATCGCTCTGGGAGACCCCGTGAGTTGGATTTGGACAAGCTGAAGCACGCATTGCAATCGGATCCATTTCAATCTAGCCGTGAACTAGCTGTCACATTCGGAGTTCACCATAGCACAGTCCTTGAAGGTTTGAAGTCTCTTGGAATGAGAAAACTTTTTGGTCGATTCATACCTCATCACCTGACTCAAGCCAACCTTGACCGCCGAGTCGACGATTCGATTACTCTTCTCACTCTCCACGCGGGCGATCGATGGCTGGACCGGCTAATAACCGGAGATGAGAAGTGGGTCTTCTACGATAATCACCACAGGAAATCCCAGTGGGTTGGAGAAGGAGAGAGCCCACAGGATGTCCCCAAACCCGACCTTCATCCGAAAAAAGTTATGCTCTCTGTGTGGTGGGGAGTGGACGGCCCCATCTACTGGGAACTTCTGCCCGAGGGCAAAACAATAACTGGAGACCTCTACACTACTCAACTACGAAACCTCAAGAAAGCAGTCGACCGTTCGGCCCTGAAAGACAAGAAAGTGTACTATCAACATGATAACGCTCGCCCACATGTTTCGAAACAAGTGAAGCAGGAGCTGATGGGATATGGATGGAATGTTCTCCCTCACCCCCCGTATTCTCCTGATCTTGCTCCTTCCGACTATTGGTTATTTGGCGATATGACACGTGCCTTCGAAGGAAGAAGCTTCAATTCCCGTGGAGCGGTCGAAGCGGCACTCAAACAATACTTTGCCTCACGCCCGGCTGGATTCCACCGCAATGGAATCCATAAATTGAGGGAACGTTGGAGACATGTTGTTGATAATGATGGACAATATAATTAATTATTCGGTTATTTTTTCTTTGAGAAATAAACTATTGAAAAAGTGACAAAGACTTTCCCGCCAACCTAATATTATAGCATTTACGGTAGTTTTCCAGACACCCAAAATTGATTGTTTCGAACTAGAAAAAGTAAACTTTAACACATTTTGGCACAGTTATCATCTAAAAATCGTTCTTCTAATTCTAAAAAAATCTTATTTTATTTTCAAAAGTCTAGTACTTCAAATTCCAGATTCATTCCAGATTCAAATTCCAGACATCCAAATTTAACAATATTTCTCTACTTCATCCTGTCTACTTTCTAGTGATCCGTTCTCCACCCACACTTCCTCCTCTTCCTCTAAATACCGTAAAACCTCTAATAGAACGACACCCGGATCGTCCACTTTGAGCCTATATATCTCATTTTCTGTGAAAGATATCAAAAAGTGGCTAACTAGTAAAATGTTGCTGATATCCTGATAAACATTTTACTAGTTAACCACTTTTTGATATCTTTCAAAAGAAATGAGATATATAGGCTCAAAGTGGACGATCCGGGTGTCGTTCTATTAGAGGTTTTACGGTAACTCAAATCCATATGATCTATGAAGTGGTCTTCTAGGAAACCTGCCCCCAATTAACCCGACCCTTCTAACCAAGGACTCTCGCTCTCGACTAATTCTCATCTACAGCATAGTATTATGAAAAAAAAAGTAAAAGAAGAGGGTAGAGTAATGCTCCATAACTTTTTTATCACCCTACCCTTGCCGTTAGCAAAGGACCAATGTTTTATTCATGCTCTTCTTTTCTCTTCTTCTTATCCGAAATAATGTTCATTATCTGTCTTTTTGGTTCCTCTGTCTCTCTATCTTTCTTTTGTTTTTCCTTCCAGAATTGCAGAGTTTGCAGTCATGACGTCTTCTAGAGAGTTCATCCCATCCAATTTATTCCCCAACTTTAAGATCTCTCTGACGCATTTTCCTTACCGTAATCCTATCCATCTGTGTTGGCTCTCTCCTTTTTTTATTTTCCAAGGAACCAAAGAAGCGCCGGGGGAACTCACTTAAAATGAATACCAATTTGAATTGGCAGATTAAGTGAGAAAAAAGGAAATGGAAAGAACATAGAAAATGGAAGGAAGAAAGTTTTTTGTGGCTCCTCACATAACAACCTAACTTGTTTGTTTTTCCGTTTGCATCTTGGCCTGAAAATTTCTTTTTTAGTCTTTTTTGTTCCGTGAAGATGGGATTGTAGCAGAAGTTAATGACACAAATACAAAAGTATAAAAATAAGAAACATGTTTTCTATGAAAACTTTAAAAGTGAATGCTTCTGGAAATGGGTCTTGCAAAATTTTCAGAGCAAGAACTTCGGAGGGGTTATCCAGAAGTTGTGTATTCCCCGGATCGCCTAAAACACATTTGAATCAATTTTGAGATTTCAAGAAACCAGAAAAATTTTATTCATCAATTTTGGACAATTTTGAAGTCAGTTATGCGCCTTTAAAGTTGGTAGAGAGACGCAGACAACGAGAGCACTCTCGTTTCTTTGCGTCTCTCGAAATTCAAATCATGTATCTCAGCTCATTCTCAACCAATCTCAATGATTTATAACGTAGAAAAATGCTGAAAATCTGGGAAATCAGATAAACTATTTGATGGAATTTTACATAATTTTTGAAAATTGAAGCTCCAGTATATCCGTTCTGGTGATATTCAATTCAAACAGATTCCTTCTATCATCAAAAAACCTTTGAATATTGAAATTTTCGGTATTTTACAACTCTTCCCCATTAATTTTTTTTCTATTTCCAGATGTTGTTTGACCTCAATTTCATTTTGTAACAAAACAATCTTTTTACTCTTTTCTCTTTTCTTTTTTCAATCTCTATTTTGATCTATCTTCTCTATTCATCGA